CGAGTTATTTTTATCGGAGAGGGTAGAGTTTTGCAAGGATATTTCTTAAGAATTGGTTTAAACTGGACTAAAAGTTCGTGGCCAAAAGCAACAAATTGCCAATAGTGTACGGTATCTAGACTTAGTATTCCTAATGTTGAGAGTAAGATGATCTTGGTGACCTTGGAAGCACTTCGGACAAAATGTCCGAATATGCCTTCAAAACTTGTATATTCGCAGTGGTTAAAGCAAAGTTGATGTTCAGTGAATACGCAACTGCCGATTTAAAGACCTCGCCAATCTGGTGAGTGGTGTCCGTTAACTGTGCTCAATGAAGGCCTGCTCAGCCCGGATGCCAGTGCTCTTGGATAGGTATTCAGAACAGCTGGTCTCCCCAATGTGCTCACAGCGTGGTCGCGGGTGTCCGCGGAAGCGTACCCGGGGATCAATGTATACAAGTGCATGGTCCACGCTTGTGTTCCAAACCGTGCGAAAGTTTTGTACGCAGTCCGTCCAACGGTAAATAATCGCGATGTGATTGATTTGCGTCCATAGATGGTTCGACGCTGGTGGGCACTGTGTCGAGAATTGCTGCTCGTGAGGAATGCATGAGCATCTTTACACAGATATTGCGAACGCCCACCTTTACCATCACTGGAGCATGCGCCGTGTTGGCCATCTGGATGCAACTCACTATAGAAGTTTGCCAAACTGGGCGTTCAGATCACCAGCCAGCACCACAGTATCTGTTTTTTCCGTGATGAAGGCGCTCATTAAATTTGTTTTGGAATTCATCTTTTACCGAGTCAGTGCCATAGTTTGTGGGGCGTAGGCCGCAATGACAAACGGACACCCATTGTTCCTGCGTAACTTCGAAACTTTTAACGAGCCAGTTACTCAGATAGCACACTTTCGTGCCTGGGAATCCTACTGATCAGAACAGTTGCAACCCAAGGGTTCAAAATAACACCTACATCGGCTTGACCGGTATTTGAAGGTGCATCATCTACGGATAGACGCGTTGAGAAAGGACCACAAGCATCAGATGTAGGGACAGTACCGTAGACAGAAAAATCGAATGTATTATAGGACATTGGTTATATTCCTTCTTTGGATAGGCTGTAAATCCAGGTAGGAAGCCCTTTAAGTGTATTACTTAAATGCAGAAGCTAAAGGCACCACTGAAATGAAATCACCGTGGATAAACTTAGACAATATACCCGTAGTAAATATCCAGTTATTGTTATTAAAATAACTTCAGTTATTGGAATAATTTGCAGACCTCAACAAATGCTTGAAGTTTAACTCCCTGCTTGCTGATGCGAAGACTGAGATCCGATTCATCCAAAACTGCATAGAACACAATTATTATCCAAAGATTTATTGGAAATCGCTCCGAAGCATCCACATTCAACTAAATACGAAGTCTCTCAAAAGGTACGCTCACAATCTGCTAGAGGCCATACAGTCTCGTCTCCCGGAACTGGAATGGTTGTGCTCACTCTACTCGTCGGTGGTGGACGAAGTCTCTGATGACCACCGTGACTCATTCGAATGCTATTTGCGAGGAATATGTGAGAAAGCAAAAGAAGATACGCTAAGTTGCTCAAAAGACAAGAACCTTTTTCACCGGAAACAAAGTTTCCTGCCAATCCTGATAAATATGTGCATAATGTATCTAGCCAGCAGCTGAACCAGCTTCTTCTCGGAGCGCTGGCACTCGGGCCAAAATTCTGTCTTTCCCAGCCGAAAAGTGGGCAAATTAACCTGGAGACTCGATTTGGGAATTTAATGCACCATCTAGTGGATAGAACACCATCTCCACTCGTAAGTGATACGTTCAAGACCACGTTATTACACCTCACACATAGGTATCATGACTCCGACAAAAAAGCACCATGACGCAACCGGAGATCTGATGTTGAACCCAGAACTGATCTTTTCTCGACCCGATAAAAGTCAGGCTGGGTATTGATGGGCAAATCCGATTACACTTCCAAAATGAAGGCAATTCTCAGCGACAACAGTAAATTTCGAGAAAATCCAGTCCAAAAAGAAACCACTTTACAGGATGAGGCAAAAATCATCAACATACTGAAGTAATTGAAAGAGTCAAAGCAAATGGATATTTCACTTTTCGCAAAGCCAGCACGTTGTGGCTCACATCCTCCCTGACTTTATGGACTGCCAAAAGTACACGAAACCCATGTTCCTATGAGACCAATAGTGGACATGTCTTCGCCTTATCATGCTGTTGCAAGATGGATAACAGAAGTGCTCCAACCTGTACGCAAAGAATTGTATACAGTGACAGACATATTCGAATTCGTTAAACGAATAGAAAAGTCAAACGTGAACGATAAACTGATGCTGTCTATTGACGTGGAATCACTTTTCACTAACGTGCTCCTGGTACAAACTGTGAATTTCATTTGTGACTACTTCACTGAAGGAAACCTAAATGTTGGAATTACGGTACGAAAACTGAGAGAATTGATCTTACGGTGCACATTCAATATAGAACTTTTGTTTGATGGGACCTATTACAGACAAATCGATGGGGTCGCAATGGGTTCTCCCCTAGGCCAACTGCTGGCAGACAATTTTCTTGCAAAACTCAAACGAACGCACTTGAGTAGCAGTAAAGCTTCATGACATTCTTACTACCGTTGTATGGATGACTCGTTCATAGTCTGTGACTCATCCATGGATTGCACCAGCCTACTAGACCAGTTTAACCGAGTACATCCTTCACTGAAATTTACTACCGAGATCAAACAACATGGCTGTCTGGCTTTCCTAGACGTTCGATTGCGCAGACGCGAGGACGGAATAGTCGAAAGGAGTGTTTTCTGCAAAGCAACGTGTTGTGTACCTTTGAGGTATAAGAGAACTTTAGTTCACTGTCTGTACCATCGCGCAAGATCCATCTGCAGTCCGGAGACGATGAAAAGTGAAAAAAGGTTCATCTTCAGCACTCTGCAAAAGAACGGTTATCTCATTTAATTCATTAAAAATCATTCCACTCCACCTGATTCTGCAAAATCCGTTGCCACTGTACCATAGAAGGATGTCTTCCTTACTGTGCCTTTTAAAAGTGACATTGTCTTCGAACTGTTGAACAAAAAGCTTACAACCGCACTGGCCCATGCGTATCCAGCTGCTGAGCTAAAACTAATTGCTGAAACAAGATCTTTAATTCTTCAGCACCTAAAGGAAAAGCCCCCGGTCCCGTCCGAATCTCTCATCATATACCATTTCACTTGCACCTGTGGTGCAAGGCACTTTGGATATACCACCAAGTGGTTGCCCAAACGGATTGCTGTGCACTGTCCTGCGTCGCTGCGAAAGGGCACGATGAAGAACATCAATAGTTCCAGTCTACATCACTTGATTGAAACTGGTCATGAAGCTCGGATGAATGAGTCATTTAAAGTGATCTATACCATCTCCATACGTTACCCAAATACGCTTAAAAAACATCCATTACTCATCGCCGAGGCCATCGCGATCAGTTTTGAAATCAAAACTATGCAAACATCGAACTCTGGTACAAGCTTTGATGTTGCCCTGGCCATTAACCTGCTCCAGCATTAATTGTCCAGCGTTGGTCATGTGCCTCCGCGTGTACCGCCGTCTGATTGAGCAAACCATTGATGTATATTTCATAATGTTTAGCTAACCAATTAGACAGAAGTGTGATTTCCTCTGCGTTCATTCGTCCTATTTTACCAATGCCTTTACAAGCTTATTTATGTCACCATTTTCTTTATAATTGCAGATGTCTGAAGCGATTTATCGCACAATTGCTGTTTTCTAATTATCAAGTGCAACTATTTTGATGAACTCCAGTGCCCTCCGTGAGAAATATAGAAACCTAGTAAGATAGTCCATGGAAATCGATGGCAGATAAAGATTGTCATCAGTGCAAGTTGTTGCACCGTAGTAAACCACAAGGACGCATTAGTGCTAGGAGGATACGCAGCCCCTTCCGGTTTATATATCTTCATCGTTTTTGCTGCTGAGAACACCGCGATCATTCACACATCTAACTACCTTCGAATGCTACCGCAGTTTTTCGTCTGTACTGTGGTCATAGATACTGCGGTTCTCCAGTCGTAAAAATTATTTTCCAAATTCCTGTCAATCTCAGCTATTGCTTCTGTCACACCATTGTGGTGTGTGGCACATAAAAAACGAACGATGAGAATTGGACAGTTAGTTCATCCATCGTACTCGACCGATGCACTAAAGTGTTCTCTCTCACTGAATTGATCTCCTGTATTGAAAATATACCTACTGGTTCGTTTTCAAGTCGTCTACTCCGGCGTGCGCTTGAAAGATTATCTGCACGCACGACGATGTCGAGATGTCGGTCAAGTTATAACCCGAATCAGGGCCACCAGCTTTATCCGCTCGGTCTTCACTGCAATCAACTCATCTCTGGGACCATCTTCCTCTTCCAGAGGCGGTCTCAGCACCAACTATCGTAACTAGTCAGTTAAGGAAAGTTGTTTGCTGAAGAACTGGATCATTAACGTGTATGAGTTAACAGGAAACAGAATATTCGTCTGTTGTGTCATCCGTCGCGGATCAACTTAACTCAAACTAAGCTCTGTGCATCTATATGAGCGCATTTTACGCTATCGCCGTGGATATAACGCAGCACGCGACCAATAAAAGATTAAACACTGACAGCGTACGGTCACGCGATTCGTTCTTCATCCCCATTGGCTTATAAGCGTGACAAATATGGCGAAATGAAGTTGCGACACTAGGTACGAAAAGACAACTTTTAATTTTCATCACGTAAAAGAAATAGATACCGTACTGATTAGAACAGTGTACAGAGAGTGAGGCAGGCCATTTGGAATCCTAGATGAAAATTTAATGCATACACCGAAGTGTTTCTTAACGATAAAAACAAACGAGGCATTCTTTCCTTACTCGAAAGTACCGAGAGTATCACAGTGAAGTACGCCGCTCCTCGCTCTTGACAAACCGTATTTCCGGTTTCCGTTGGCTATTTTCTTGATTGGGTTTTCTTATTGCTCCGTATCTTCCTCCTCGACCATGTTTGCACGATAGTAATGCAGCCCTGCAATGCCTAACCATGACACGTATCATTTCAGCACGCATTGCATTGCCCTGCATCGTTAATAGTCTTCGTTGCGCCGTGTGAATTCTGCTTTTGCTTCCACTATTTGGTGTTTTATTCGATGAGTACATATCTTCATTCTTACTGCATGCTCACTATGCTGTCTGGCATCGATGGCCATGGTTCAGTGAATCGTGATTCCACTTTTCTCCTGACTTGATCAGGCCCCATTCACTGGGAGCTTCTGGCCAAAGCACGCGCTCTCGACGCGCAATGCTATGTGGGGATGTGCAGCCCAGCTTGTGATCCGGAATCTGGCTACATCAGTCACGCCGAGTCGTTAATCACATCCCCTTGGGGGGTTGTTGTCTCGAAGGCTGGGAAAGAGGTAAGCACTTGCTTCGCGCAATTGTCATGCTTTTCACTCCGCACAAAGCGTTTCGTTCTCATCAACCTAATGATTCAGTGTTTTTAGTGCATACTGAGGCGAACAGGCTTTTGATGACGCGGTAAGCTAACTAGAAGTGTGTACGGTCTCACACTGAGGATTTTGTACGCCGTCCTACAAAGTTGCGACCGTTGCTGTGGTTTCCACCTTGATGTTGGTATTGCTGGTTTTTCTGCCATATCGCGCCCACTTCTCACGAGTGTGCTCTTATCATTTGGATCGTCGCCTGGCGAGACAGCCCCCTCCCGCCGGAATGACTACCATGTTGGATAGCCTCACTTGTGCATTCGTCCACTTATCCAACGATAGATACTCATTAGAACAAGCGGCCAGCTTTGCAAGATTCCTTCCGGCTATCGGCATGCTTGACGGTTGCGCCCCATTTAGCCTTCATGTCGGCCCACAATGCAAGGGATTAGATTTCACACTTTGATATGTGATTATCTAGCCGTGTTCGATTTGACGCAACGACTAACTTTCCTTTTGCTTAAGATGCACCCCGAACCACAAAAGTTTCTTCGTATAATTTTTTTGATACCTGGTGTCTGAGTCACGACTGTGCACATGACCATGTGAATCTCGATCTCCGGTTCTTCACCCATAGGAGGAAATCATCTGCGCTGATTTGGATCTCAATGAGCTAAAACACGTACGCGAATCTATCCCCGTCGGCCGTCAGCGTCGACTTGATGTGTACACTCCACCGAAACTGCTTGTGCGACACACGCAAAAGTAACAACGTTCAGGTGCGTTGCGGCTCCGTTTATCATCAACAGTCTTTCTTGTTCAGCTCTTTATATCGCTCGGATTCGCGCCTTTGTATTTCACTTTATTGACTTCATCCGCTTTACAATAAACAGTTTATGCACTTCACGTATTCTTCCTCACTGCAACATATATTTGCGCAGGGTTCACTGTGGGTAGTCTGATAATGAAATTCCAGCTGTTGGTGTGCAAAGTCCACCATCGTTAGGTACAGCTAGTCTTCCACTGATGTCATTTTGTCCCTAAGTACCGAATCCAGCGCGATTCACGTAGATCCCAGTCACCTAATTTGTACACATCAGGTAGACACATGTTCGAGACTCAGCTGTTCGCGACGACTAGCTCCCCGAGACGGCCTCAATGTGATGCTGCTCTCGGTTGTATGTGCTGGACGTGCTTAATGTGAGTGACAAATTCAGGGAAACCGAACCGTTACCATTTGTCACGTATCGATTAACGGTGACCCAAACGCATATGTGGCCTCCCATCATTCGCTTAAATACCAAACAATTTAGTGTTTGTTCGTTTGAAACGTTCTCTACGTTACGGAATCGAGCCGGGGCTCTTGTATCTCTAGCTAAAGTCTAGACAAGTATAAAACTGGTCGCGGAGTGCAGTGCAGTGAATGAGTTACCAAACATTTAGCTGAATCAAACGGTCCACACTTAACGGCGAGCTGCCAACCGACTGTTGTAATTTGGTTCGCGGACTGTCACTCTAAAGGACGGTCAGGGGTATATCAGTCCACGGAACCAAAAGACGGAGAGAGTGGAACAGCCTAGTTAGCGCGTATAAACTGAATTCCGATGATGACAGTGGGGGATAACAGTAGCCGGCAGCTCAAGCGACAACCAAAAGCAGCACCGAGTTGATTAGGAAAATGAATTTCCCGCACTGCACTGGTTCTCCCCTCCCTTTATTGAGTATGCTAGTAGTGGAGGTCTAGGTAAGTCGAATTGCATCTATGCCAACAGTCTGCGCGCCCAGTCGGTCCATCGTTATCGATGTGAGGAGATTGGAACTGGCTGAAACAGGCGTTGGGGGAACGTCACGGAATTGCTATTTGATCTTAATCTCTCTGTTATTTAGCCATATTAGATTGTGCGCGGACGTATGTGTCTACTCTAATCCTGGGTGCAGCGCCCTCATGAGTTCTTCATCTAAGTATCTGCCGGCGATTGTCCGTCGTATCGAGCCTCCGCTCCTCCTAACTTCATCACAGTCGGCAAACATCATTACCCGCAATGGTTTCATCCGATCTCTGGTTGATGGAGCTTTTATGATAACTCGCAAATTTAACCACAATCATCATAGGGTTCATGTATTTGGTATTCATCGCAGCTAAACTCAGCCACTACACATCTGGGAACGCGCTAGACGTCGTCTTGTCTTATTGGGACTCATCAGTATCGCGCACCCGCCGGATTCGAACCCATGACCTTACTCTTAGGAACCAACGAGTTATGCCATCGAGCCATGACTGATATCCAACTGTATGAAATAAATACTAGAGCGAGTCCTCATGTCTAGACAAATCATCCGAAACCTTCAACCCGGGGTTATGACACGCGATCCAATACCGGAGACAGGTGACACAGCCGAAAAACCTACCACGGTGCATATGTTACGGTCGCGTTAAGAGGCACACCATGTCTACTTAGTCATGATAACTAACTGTCCAAAACATCACACATGATCAACCAACCGAACATCTGTCCTAGTAAGTGCTGCGAATTTCGCGTTCCGCACCACATGTGAAATAATCCACAGAACCGTACAGGCAGGTTAAGGAATCGTTATGATCCACATGCAAACAGGATTCTCCCATTTTGAATACATGTAGTGCTACAAACATCATCATCATCACCAACAGCAGTACATCAGCCATTTGAACTGATGCTTCTCTGCCATACAACCAAGAGGACATATGAAATAGAGAATAAGAAGAGGGAGAGGAGGACTTACCTGAAAACCTTAATGCCCTAAGCAAACATTCAGGGTCAAGGCGCCTACACCTTGTGTAGGCGCAAACAGCTGGCTATCGTGCAAAGATAAGGCGGCATCGGCGAGACAGCTTCCTTGCGGCTTTCACTGCCCCGCGTCATAATCAGCCATTACCCCGCAGATAACTCAGCACCAAACACACTTTAAACAGACAATCCGATTAGAAGACGACAGCAGACACGCCAATGGTGTCTACTGCGAGCCATGTCCTGTAATGTCTCGAGCCAAGCACAAGGCGCGTCACATGGACCCCAGCCTGGAAGGCGAGACGGACCAGCGGCACACAGTTTGGTAGTCAGGGACTTCATTTGCCGCTGCCAAGTCAACTTCTGTCCACCTCCAGCCTTGCGCCACCCTACACCTGGCAGACTAAACAAGGCCCTCCTAGGTAAGCGGTGACCATGCATACGTAGCACGTGCCCGAGCCAACGCAACTTATTCAGTGCTATCTGTTGTTCTAGAGAGCAACCATGATTATCACTTCCTAGTACTCGCCTACGCACATCATCGTTGCGAACACGCTGGTGCCATCCGACTCCAGCAATGCTGCGCAGACAACGATGATCAAAGACTTGAAGGCGCATTAGATCTTCAGACCGAAGCGGCCAAGTCTCACTACCATAGAGCAGAAGGGCTCTCACTGTGGCCTTGTTTACACGGCCTTTTAGACGGAGGGAAACTCCCTTCTGTCGCCAAAGATGCCGCAGGTTCAAAAAGGCAGCTCTGGCCTTTGCAATGCGTGAGCTGACGTCAGTTTCTATGCGCCCATCGTTGCTGATGCAGTTGCTAAGATAAGTGAAATGATCAACCACCTCGAGTTCCTCGTTAGCAAGCTTCAAGGGATCATCAAGTGGCTCGTGGCCCTGCAGCAACACTGCACTTTGAAGGGACCACTCTGGACAGGCTATTCAGAGTTGGTTATGCCGCGCCAACATCGTCGAAAAGCAAGACGATATGGTCCGCATAATCTAGATCAACTAACCTTTCACTAGGCAGCACTTCAACGCCTACATCGTGAGATTCCGCAAGGGAACACTCCATGATAGAATCCACAACGAAATTGAACAAAAATGGGGAAATCGGACAAGCCTGACGAACGCCACTTGTGGTCGAAAAGCTATCCGACAGGACACCGTAGACCCTGACGCGGCCTGTAGTGTTCGAGTATGGAGCACTTAGGATGTTCATATATTTCGTGGGAACACCTTTCCGTGCAAGTATTTCGAACAGAATCGATCGATGGACTGTATCAAACGCACTCTTGAAATCGAGGAACACAGCTATTGTCGGTCTGCGGTACGCGTAGCGCTGCTCTAGCACCTGCCGCAAAGTGAATATATGGTCTATACAACTACGTCCTGGGCGGAAACCAGCCTGCTCTTCCCTAATCCGAGATTCCCGTTCCGCAGTGAGGCGACGAACGATAATAAAGGCCAATAATTTTGTCACAACTGGCGTTAGGCTAATACCCCTGTGGTTAGAACAGTCTGTGCGACTGCCCTTCTTGTATATTGCCACTATAATCGATTCGCTCTAATTAGCCGACACACTCTCTTCGTTCCAGATACGTTCGAATAGGGAGGTCAGTGCTTTGCAAAGGACCTCACCTCCATCCTTAAATAGTGCAGGTGGTAGGGAATCCGGGCCAGCGGCACGAAAACGATTGATGGCTGTGATCGCGTTTCGCACCTCGGCCTCTGACGGAGGCTCTAAACTAACCGTCCATGGCTCGTCCTGCATCACCTGAGTAGGAAGAGGTCCAGGAGCAGGGGGCCAGCTGAACTGATCTTCAAAGTGTTCAGCCCAACGAGCCATACGGCGCTCCTTATTGTGCATCAGCGCACCCGCGCTGTCTCTTAGTGTCTCACTGACGCCTGGTTTCTTGGGACCAGTGGTGCGGATTAGCTGGAAGAGCTTCCGGTAATTGCCTACTGTTCCTGCCTCCTCCATTTCTTGAGCCCTACTGGTCCACCAGGCTTCCTTGTCAGCACGTAGGCTCCGCTTTAGTTCACGCCTAATAGCCCGTCTGGTCACATTGTGTTCAGAGCCAGACGGGAGGTGTCTTCTAGATTCCAACAGGTTCGCCGACCTCTCAGATATCCAGTGACTGGTGCGGTGACGACTGATGGTGCCACAAACAGATCCTCCTGCGTCGAGCATGGTGGCCGAGATCCTATTCCACTGAAGTTCAGTGTCATTAGGGCAAGACATCGGAACTTCGATACGCAGCGCCTCTTGATAGGCTTGCCTGACCGAGGACTGAGACAATTTCTCAGTTGCCAATCGTAGGGGACACTTGGTGCGCCTCCCGGTAAAGTTCATGGAGAAACGACAGCGTACCAAGGCATGATCAGAGTCGACACTGGTACTCCAGTATGAGCGGTAATTCAGGGTGGAGCAATGCCACCTGTAACTTATGGCTAGGTGGCCAATTTGGGTTCATCGCTGGCCAGCTACAGGAGGACGCCAAGTGGCACTTCGGTGCCCACTGTGTCTAAAAGCAGTGCTACTAAGAAACAACTGGTGCTCCGCACACAGTCGCAGCAGACGCTCACCGTTGTCAGTCCGTTCGGAGTTAAGTCCATAATTACCACCCAGCTGAGCTTCTGAAGAGCTCAGACGCCCTACTTGTGCGTTCATATCCCCTGCAAGTACTATAATATCTGAACTAGTAGCACTGCGTAGTAACGCGTTCAGTTCGTGATAGAATGTGTCGTTGACAGCATTTGAACTGCAGTCGGTGGGAGCATACGCGGAAATCACAAACAAACAGCGTGTTGTACTACTTCGCGAATTCACCTTAGCTGATGTCGTCAAACGGGCTGCACATAAACGGCTGTTCACCGGAATCCAATCAACCAACGATGGTTTAGAATGATACCTACACTAGGTTGACCCATGAGTGCTGCATCGGCGTCTCCGGATGCGTACAACCAATAACGAGAGGATAAGCCGGGTGCAGTCAATTCAATAACCCCGTTAGGGTCATTAATCCTAGTTTCGGACACACAACACACATCAATACCCAGTGTGCCTAAGGTGCGTGCGAGTGCAGCCTGCTGACCTGTTTGTCTTAGGGTGCGAACGTTGAACGTCGCCATGGAAACAGGATAGTGTGGCCTTATAAGGGACTTTTGCCGATAGGCGTCCGATAAGTGCGGTGGGATGATGGCTGCAGATGGTTCTACTCCAGTAGCACTTCGGTTGCTGTCAATTAAGCTGGGAATTATAGAAGGAAGGATAGTAATGGGGGCCGGGATGGGAGTAAGAGAAAAAGGTGGAAAAGAAAGAAGGGAGGCGCCAGCAGTAGCATGTTTTCGCTTATCCGCCCTGCTGTATGCAGCAGATAAGGCGACCCTTGATAATCTGCGCGACGGCCGATTCAGGATGAAGTTTATGTTTGAAGAAAATGTCATGGTTGTATGTGGACTGAGATACTGCCAGGGCGCCCAAACCCAGACGAGAGGACGATTAGGATCCTCATCCAAAGCCTTTGGCTCAAAAGCCTGTCCGCAAGGCAGCGGGGAGGTGGCAATGATTTAGTTTTACAGAAATGGACGCCATCCCATTTCAAACCCCCAACCTGGAGGACCAGGAGACTGAGTTTGTCTGACCTCTCACCATTGACCAACCTGGTAGGAGTATCTCTCAAGATGCCCGGAGGCACCACACAGTATAGCTCAATGGGTCAATGAGGAATGCAAACCGTCGCACCACGTTAAGGTCCAGTCTCGTTGCGACGGAGTGCTACAAACACAAGCTAGGGAAGTTTCCATCAGCAAATTACACTGCAGATATGAATTACATGAATGTAAACGTTAAGCATAGCATGCATAGTCCCTAGGTGTTCATCCGTTTTCCAATGAAGGAGTAGCAGGTCCCAATGTTAAACTGCGGTTTGTCCACGAAAGTGCTTGGTATCGCGGCTCGTTCAGGAAATCAGCCTGTGCCCCAGCAGTAAAAGGCGGGGCATGCAAATGCGAATTCAAATGTATAATCGGGATGAATTTTATCACGTCTTGCAGCGCTCGATCTGATATGATGCTAGAGAGTAAAGCATGTGCGAGAGATCGACGCTGAATGGACCACTGGTAGCGAATGGGTGATTCCGCCTCTGAACTAAAAAGATGGAAAACCACAGGAACCATAAATTATGTATCGCTGGCGGAGGGCGTAGGATAACCAAATGAAATCGAAACGTGGTAACGAAGCGAGTAGTATTGTTAAAGTTCAATCAAAGTAGTCGATCAAATAATGGCGATGAGTATAACGCTTAACCGGCAAGTCCTAAAGGCAGTTTGGCTCTTTGGTAATTCTTAGGGAGTCGCGACGAATAGAACGTAGGTGAGACTAACTAAATAGTGGGTAGATCTTCATCAGAACGGCAAACTGGAATGAAAGTCGTCAAGAGCAGAGCATTCGATTGCGCGGCTAGTATGCTTTGGACGGTTACAATCAGAATAAGTCAGGAACTAGGATGGAACCGAGGTGATAATTTCTTCGTTACTGAATGGGCACACTACTAGCAGATTAAAAAGTAGTCCACGATCTCCCTATTCGATCAACACATTTTGTCTGAGCCCTAGGGGTCTGACTGCCTTACCGATGTGCTGGAACCGACAAAGAAAGCCTTGTTAGGAGTTCCCAATGACCTTACACCACGTTGGAAAATTCGATACGTCGGACCATTTAGCTGTGCAATTATATGTTGTCGCTGCATGAGAAAAAAAAGGTGAATGCTGAAGTAGACTGTATTTGTACAGGATGGGCAGTCGACAAATAATACCCATCATCGCTTAGCAAACGAAATTTCCATAGCGTGAGTTGGAGTCAGCTTGAAGCCTTCATAAGCCGATTTAGCGGCCGCGGCCTGTGAATCTGTTTCGTATTCAACGAAGCCCATTCCACCTGCAGCACGCCTGGCTTCTTTGAAACCGGAGAACTGGCTGAAAAGCATGGTCAGCATAGCGTCTGTCGTCTCTTCGGGCAGATTACTTACGAATAAAACGTGGTTCGGCTGATTCAGGAGGCTGGTCAGATCGCCACCGGTGCCGGCCTGTAGAAGAGGGCAAGAGAAACAGTAATATCGATGAACAAAACGAAGATAGTAGAAATGTGAGCACTTTTGGTGAGCGAATCAAGTAAGTGAAGGTGAAAGAAGAAAGTCCCAACCTCATCGGTTTGCGACCAAACTGGAATACTGAAGAAACACCGAGACCCACGTGGCGTAGAAGTTGCAAGTCAAAATTTTCGAGAACATTGATCAATCAGCCTAATCACCTTCACAGGTATGTTAACTAGACATGAGTTCAGTCTGATTGCTATGCTTTCCTGATCAACGGAGCGGTTGCATATCCTATCATTTTGAAAGGTAGGTTAAGGTGACCCAAAGTGAGCGCCGGACTATCAATGATAAATGTTAGACTGAGGTGCCCCCGATTGATAGAGCTCATCTCTGAATCTTATATATTTTAGTCTCACATGAAGCCCAAGGGGTGGTGCTGATAAATCAGTTTAACACGCTTGTACGAGAAAAGTACAAGGAGGAAGCGCCGAGCTGTGCGCAAACAAGACCAGGATAAAACGCTAATTGGATTAAGCGCCTATACAACTCAGTTGCTCGAGTTGATAGTAAGAATCACTTTTTCGTACTCTTTGGCTAAGCCTAAACACATTTGCAAACCAATTACGAAGCTCGGCGAACAGGTAAGACTAGGAACTAAAACACCAATTGATCAATAACTCGACCGATTATCGCTAACCGAGAAAAATAACATGTGGATTGTTTCGGACAGTTCGGCACAGACTCGGTCAACCATAACAGTGGCTGAGTTGTGACTTCAAAAGAGAAACACCGCTGTGAAAATCACAAACTCAACCACTCAGCCAGTCATAGTATGTGAGTACACATTCTAAAAGTAGATGAGCATACAGCAAGACGTACCGGGCCATTGACGGATTGATTTGCAGCCTGAGCAGCTGCGGCCGCTGCGGATTGCCGCTGAGCGAGCTTTCGTCGCTTACGCTTCTCCCGTTCTTCATCACGGCGTTTCTGGACTTCCGCGCTCACTCCCTTAAGCTGAACGATCTGGGTGGAGTCGCGCTTAGCGTATGAAATGCGCATGGGCTAAAACGGGGAAGGAGGAAAAAGTGTTGCGGCGATAAAAGACACGAAGTAAATTATCAGGATACAAACACAATATGACTCATTTCAAAATCCAGCCATATGGGATGAGATAGCTAGCAGAAAAGTCGGCAGCTGGTGATCGAGCACTTATCAGAACGGCAAGTTGGGACTTCGAGGACTGAGGCGCTCGACAAGTGCGAGAAGATATTCGGCCCGTGACCGAAAGTATCACACGTGGGTTCGAGCCTGGGTAGCGGACCGAGCGGCCTTCACAGTATCCCTAGTCCACGCGTGGCTGCGTGACAGCCGAGCGTCGGTACTGCATACTGCTGTTGCGTTATCGTGCGGATAGTAAGTGCCAGCAAGCATGCGTCTGTCAGAGTAACAGGCAAGCGGATCGTAAGGAACCCTGTTCAGTTATTGTTAACGAGAAATCAGGACTACGCACCTCATGTTCGTACAAAGAACTGCTCTCAGCCGGCTCTAGTCCGAATGATGTTCAAACAACGGTTCACTTTCGCTGACACGAACCGAATAGTTGCACTCGCTAGTAATCAAAGGTTGGGCGTTGCCCGCTCATTTCATGACCGATACCGAGATTAGTTGCACTAACGGGTCACACCGCAAAACTTCGACTTGTAATTATCAACGTTCACTTGGGCAATTGATGGTCCAGATTGAGATTGCACGGTGCAATCCATTCAAACAACGAGTATTTCAAAATGGCCCTTTCACTTGCTACTGATAACGAATACCGCGTAAAACGACCATAATGTTGAGAACAAGACTTAAAGGAAGTGACCTGACATATAGTAGGCATTGTTGTCGGCCGTAGCCAAAGGCACGACGAATGATCAGTCACACCAGCCCCAAGGAGACCAGGAAGGTCGTGTTAGAAATCATTGTGCGCCCAATCGACAGTTGGCTAGTTTGTGTTCTCTATTTATTTATGCTAAACTAGATACCGAGTCAGTCATAACTTGCCAGGATCGCACAGCTTGGTATCAACAGAAGGGGCGATGTTTATCGATAAAGTGTAGTGACCCACAACAAATAGTGTTTCAAAGGTGCGTAAAAAAAACAAGGCATCAGCAGGCAATACTGACGCTTCGCTGCCGCGCAACCATCACCGGTCACACGTGGGCTACGGATACTGCGAGGGTCGCCCTGCCCCTACGCAGGCTTGAACCTGCGCCGTCAGATTACAAGACAAGCTTGTTACCTTAAGGCTACGGGCCGAAACAGGTGAGTACAGACTGTAAGAATTTGGAAATGGATTCACGTAGCAAGCTCTGATAGTGCAGTTGAGTAAAAAAAATAAGTCGAACATGAATGAATGTGGCGACATGCCAACCTTTTGAAAGAGATTGAATCCTTGTAAGGAACGAAAAGCGGTCGTCGCCGATTGTATATCCTGAAATATGATAAAAGCCTGTCCCCGCATTTTCATCGTTTTCATAGCAATGATATCCAATATTCGACCATGTTGACCAAATAGATAATAGAGCGCTCTTCGCAAGTCAAGCTTCTTCGCTTTATCGTTTAAGTTGTTTACATACAGTGTATGATTTGGTCTGATATCCATGGGGTTGCAATGGCGTCACGCCTCTGTAATGTGGAAAACGATGATGAAACTGTGCAGAACACAATAAGGGAGTTTGACGGCAACAAATGTTGGTGAGTCCCGGGATAAAATCCATCGAAATAACTCATCGACACCGCGTCCCAATCACAGTTCACAGGTCGACATACAAAAAGGGACGATGACCTGTTTGCTTCGAAAAAAACAACTCACAAATTGTATAACTCTATTGGCTGTCAATGCAACAGTGATACCTAGCACGAACTATCTTCCACTGCCACTCACGTTACTACCTTTGCAGTGGCTAGCCTCCGAGGACATGACTTCCTCTCACTAGACGCTATATCCATAGCATTTTAAACTAGGAGGCTACGCTTTAGATTACTTATAAGTAGGAGGATTTTAGTGGTGGAAGATTGGTCGTGCTATATGCCAGTTAGCCTGCAAATTATATAGCCTGGTTGCCGTCCCCCATGGCTCAGTGACTTAAGCTGCTGGCTAATTGGCGTCAGCCTCTAGCGGTGATAGGTTCGATCCCCAGTTGGGGACCGAAGAAATGCGCACCATTGACGAGCCCCAACATGGCGGAATGAGTCTGACGCCTTTCCGGATTGTGTCTGAGCTATGTAGCTTGTGAGCTGCTGGGACGAATACATTAAAATTTTACATTTGTATTTCATTGTAATGTAATGGAAAGTATCTATTTATCCTGTGCCCTGACTTTCCGGACGCCCTGTACAGTAAAACTTCTGAAGTTAACCACCTCTTTAAGTGGGCCATTTGTTTTTCATTGTTAAAGCGTCCACCGTGTAAACCTTATGCATGCAGACATCTGTGTGTTGAGCACTTTCGTTAAGTCCCTTGAATGGTCAACTTACGAAGGTTTCACTGCATTTTCACGGCACACAATCGAAGGTGTCGTAGGAGGTGGTTATTAGGACTAGTGACGCAATGCATTGCGCAACATATGTAACGTGAAAGCTGTTAACTTTCAGTTAATTTCACACAGAACCGTTTGGGCGGGAAATAGTTCGAATCCAGAAATATCTCGAAATCAGATCTAGGGTGCACTGGGGCTTCATGCTAGCTGATACTAGTCATGCTTCACCGTACATGCCCTACACAAATACCAAAGTTGGAGTAAAGTGGTTATAAACGAGAGATGGCTTCGATGGATAGTTGCGAACACGGCAGCACTCAGGAACATGTAGGAAAACAGATTATGCTTGTGTGAAAAGCGTTTTTATAAGAACAGACAGTACAGTAGTCATCGCGAAATACTTATTTTTTGGCGAATGTGATTCGGACGGGACGCCCAGGACGAATGTTAAATCCTTGCAAACCATGTTTGGCGGCTCCAGCCTCAATCTCATTGCCAAATTCGACAAAAGCGATGTCATGCCGACCGGGAACCATGCGAACCTCACGATAGCCTGTGAATTGATTGAACAGCATACTGAGCATCGCTTCATCGGAATCTTCAGGCAGGTTAGTGAGGAACAGGATTTTATTGGGTGGTTGATCCGGAATCAAAGCTGGGTTGATCGGTGCAGGCTGCGGTGGAGCCACAGGAGTTGAGCGAACAATGCTTTCTATGTTCGCCGGAGGTGGTATGGCAGCACCGGCGTCTCCAGCAGCAGCCATGGCAGCAGCGGCTGCGCGTTGCTGCCTTCGACGAATGGCTCGGGCACTTGTGCCTCCATGAGTTCCTCCAGCTTCGAATGCAGCAGCCGCAGCTGCTGCTTCCGCCGCAGCTTGGGCAGCAGCGGCCTTGCGTGCTGCCTTTGGTCGTGGCACAAAACATCCCTTGCGTTTGGCTATAAGGTCGGAGTCTACTTTAGCAAACTGGATGCGCATTGGTTTCTCGTATAGCGGGAAGCCTTGCATAGCACGAAGTGCGGTGGTCGAGTTGTTTACGTCATCGAAAACGACGAAGGCCTGTCCCCGCATTTTAAGCGTCCGTGCTACAATGAAAGAGGGTAAATAACAAATTGTGTGAGCTAAAGACTGAATTAAAAAATGACATCCTAAGATACTGGCGGTACATTATCTACCTATGTTGAAAACGCGTTAATGATTAAACGTCACCTGATGGAATAAACAGGACCTAATATGAGCACACCCCTTGACCAAATCGAGCGATGGCACTTTTCGCGGCAATATAATGGGGGATGGAACATTTAGCTACTGTGGTCAAGAAGAATGAAGAACTTCACTTCGAACTTGGCGTCGGTTGGTACCTCTCGATTTCCGCGTTGGAGTCCCAAAGAAGACGAACACGTCTGGTTGGATACACTTGTTGACATGGAGTATCTCTGACCCTCCTCCCGCTTTGTTGCGAGCCCGTCAAATCTCCCTGCAAAAAACGCGCCATAAACTCCGGCATAATGGCAGTGGAAAGCGGAGTCCAATTTCTCCCCACAACGTAGCAGTTTTCAGCCGCTCCGAGACGCGGCACAAATGCGCACAGTTTGACAATATTCTTTTACAAACTACCACCCAATTGCAGTAGCAATTTCACTAACTTAATAACCCGTAATTTTGGCTGTGTTTCGCCCTTTGTTGGTCGTAAAAGAGCCTTCCGAGGACCACTTGTCTTGCTTCCTCGTCGCTGTAGTTGGGACTCGGTCGGGTCACGTGATTTTGTGTGCGGCGATAGCCGGGCAACGTTCGCGTCTAGGCCACTAGGGCGCGTCTACCATGTCCCCCATTCGTGTGCGTAGCCTCGTCCGTTACGAGGGCTCAGTGTCTACCTGAATGCGTGTGGCTAGAAAGGTTCTCACGCTCGCACAATTTCCGTCTCACCAGCGCGTACCCTGGGCTAAGTTAACGCCATCACGTCAGCGCAAATCCGTTCGATTGGCCAGCGTTCCAAGCCGTTATCGTGCCAGTGACAATCTTATCAGGCGTCTCTCAATCTTAACACGCTTAGTTTCCCCCTCTATGCACGATCTCACACTCGATGCACAAAGCATTCTTGGCTTTTCTTTTGTGCACTGTACCTTGCTTTTTGATATCGCAGCACAACAGTTGAGTTGTTTCTTATCTTCAGCTAACGTATACTGACGACGATGATCCCAAGGCACCTAAAGCCTACGAATAGGGTCACAGATAATGTGTGCCGGCTTGCATCTTGCGATACATGTTAACATAGGTGTCATGATGTGTATAGCGAGGCTGCAGCTTCGATCTCATAGCGTGTATGAAACAAGCCCGTATGCCTAATGACCCGTGCGCACTAAGAAACGCGGAGTGTGCCCCGATTCACATCTGACTTAACGAATGGTTTAATTGTTAGCAAATCATGTACGCCCACCACTTTTCGCGACAGGACGATCGGTTTCAGTTTATCCCTCTAGATAAGATAGAAGACGGATCCAAAAATCAATTATAATCCAGAGATGAAAGCTGCCAGTAGTCAGTCTAGACGTAGACAAAATAACAAAGATCGATAAAGCTATGGACTAGGTGGTAAATAAAAGTTAAATGAAGAATGTCTATTCAGTTGAAGCAGCGAAACGCGTGCGCAACAGTAGCCTCGGCTCCGAGTATTATGGCAGTAAAACTAATCTCGATCAACATAGCAGGCCGTGAACCAGTAAACCACAGGATGACAGTTCAGTTTTGTTAGTCATAAAGTTTGCTTCTCGTAATCACCAACTTCCGAGCAGCGGACCACAAATCATTCACAAATGAGCCGGCATCGCGCGCTCGATGATTGATGGCTTCAAGCCCCCACTTCTATTGCACTGATATAGAGGTACTTGCAGTGTCCCAGCTTGCATGCAACTCCTTATGGCTGCATGGCAGGGGATATCGGCACGTAGTGTTAGTGCATTGCTAAGATATTGATACTAGCGAATCTGGAACATGTCCCTGTGTGTTAATAGATTCCTTTCTCCGTTACCAAAGATACGTATCGAGTTGCGGTAAAACTCTATGATCAGAAATACAGTTATTGTGCCGCAATACAAACAGACAAGATGTACTAAAAATCAGGTGCGAAATAGTATAGAGAACAAAATAAAAATAAGTAATGATGCTTTGTATAATAGCAAACATTGGATTGTGATCGTAGTTGGAAGAGGGGAAAATAACAATATAAACACCATTGAGGTCGGCTCCTGGCCAAGTGAACAGTTATTTCCAACTAAACGTGTTCATCGTCTTTCGGACCTCAACACGGCAGTCGGGAGGCACCAACCAGGGCCAAATTCAAAGAGGGTCTTCATTCTTTTTAACAGTCATCGCTTGACTTCGCCTACTCTTCTTCCAACCACATCCCGAGCGAACAACGTACGTCTCGCGAATCGGTGTGCTAGCATGCGAAACTTGTGGCCCAGCCACCGGAGCTTGGCGCATGAAATAATGGTGCCTGATTTCACAACTGCACAGTTAGGGTTAAGTGGACGGCTGCATTGTAAACTCTATCCTTCAGGGCCAGGGTGATGTCGCCCCAGCGCCATAAGTGGCAGATAATGGGAAAAGCGCTTCAAGATTTTGCAATACGGTTGGTGGTTTCATCTTCCACTCCATAGGCGCTGATATAGCTTCTAAGGTACGTGAATTTATGGACGACTTCTGGCTGGTCCCCACAAAGAGTCAGCACGGGAGTGGTCCATGCCAATCTTTGGAAAAGATTTTGCATTCCATTGATGCAAAGTACATCACGAAACAATTAATAACCAGTGTTATTTGGTCTGGTGCGGCTTAGTACGTTTGGGAACTGTCACAGATGAAGGCGATATCACCGGCGTCGAGAACGATCAACTGGAAGCAGCTGTAAACCTAAGACGAGTCCAAAGAACGCGGCTTGCGTAACCTTGTCTATCGCGAAGTTGAAGAGGAAAAGTGAGCGCAGACATCCTGGTACCCACCTGATGGATATAATGAAGTGCGGTGACGGCTTCTTATAAGACCTCATACTGCCCGAAACGCACGTGTGTATTGTGCTGATAATAGTTACATACTGGTCGGGCACACCTTTCCTGATCAAACAGTCCCAAAGGTCACATCGGTCCACAGAA